AGTCCTAAGGAGTTCCAGTAGCGTTGTTGTTGTTGTTAGGTGCCATCGAGTTGGTGACGACTCATTGCAACCCTATGCACAGCAGAACAAAAGACTGCCCGATCCTGGGCCAACCTTACTACTGTTGCCACGCTTGAGTCCATAAATGCTGCCACTTGACCAATCCATCTCGCTGGGGGGCTTCCTCTTTTTCTCTGAACCTCCACCTTACCAAACATGATATCCCTCTCCAGTGACTGATCCCTCCTGACAATATGTCCAAAGTATGAGAGACGAAGTTTGGCTGTCCTGGCCTCCAAGAAGCACTCTGGCTGCACTTCTGAAACGGATCTATTAGTTCTTTTGGCAGCTCATGGCACTTTCAATATTCTCCTCCAACACCGTAACTCAAAGGCATCAATTCTTCTACAGTCTTCGTTATTCACTGTCCAGCTTTCACATGCATAGGAGGTTATTGAAAATACCATGGCTTGGGTCTGGCTCACCTTAGTCCTCAAGCTGACATCTTTGCTTTCCAACACTTTAAAAAGGTCTTGCGCAGCAGATTTGCTTAATGCAATACGTCGTTTGATTTGACTGCTGCTTCCATGAGTGTTGATAGTTGATCCAAGATGAATGAAGTCCTTGACAACTTCAATCTTTTCTCCCATTGATACGAATGCTGTTTATTGGTCCAGTGGTGAGGATTTTTGTTTTCTTTACATTGAGATGTAATCCATACCGAAGACTGTGCTCTTTGATCTTCATCAGTAAATGTTTTAAGTCCTCTTCACTTTCAGCAAGCAAGGTATCATCTGCATATTGCAGGTTGTTAATGAGTCTTCCTTCTATCCTGATCCCACGTTTTTGTTCATAGAACTCAGCTTCTTGAATTATTTGGTCAGCATACAGGTTGAATAAGTATGGTGAAAGAATAAAACCTTGTTGCACACGTTTCTTAATTTTAAACCATTCAGTGTTCCCACGGTAGCATAGTGGTTATGAATTGGGCTGCGAACCACAAGTTCAGCAGTTTGAAACTACCAGCTGTTCCATGGGAGAAAGATGAGGCTTTCTGCTCCCGTAAAGATTTACAGCCTCAGAAACCCTGTACAGGGTCACTATGAATTGGAACTTACTCCATAGCACATAACTACCAACCAGTCCAAGGTTGGCAGTTCAAATCCACCAGTCACTCCTCTGAAACTCTATACAAGGTTTCTGTGAGTCAGAAATGACTCCACGACACATAACAACAACAACATACCTGGTGTGGCACTGTAGGATACACACTGGACTGCTAACTGCGAGGTTGGTAGTTCAAACTCACTAGCCAGCCATTGGTAACTCGACACACTTAACAACAACAGCAATGACTTGGCCAATAAAACAGACAAGGATCAGTGATTTTATATTTTCCAAAAGAGGTACCCAAAACCAAAACCAAAATCCACTGCCATCCGGTTGATTCCAACTGAAAATGACACTGCCTCTGAAATTTGGGAATAAACAGAGCAACCCAGTTTTAAGGTCTTTTTTTTTTTTTTTTCATTCAGGGCAATTGTTGTTATTGTGAAGTGCCGTCGAGTCAGCTCCAACCCACAGCGACCCTGTATAGGGTTCCCAAGGATCAGCTGATGAGCTTGAACCACTAACTTTGCAGTTCAAACGGCTTTGCAGTCTGGCACATTAACTCACAGCGCCCCACCAGGACTCCATTCAGGCCAATTGTTGTTGTTGTTATGTGCCGTGGAGTCGATTCCGACTCATAGCGACCCTGTACAGGGTTTCCGAGGCTGTAAATCTTTACGGGATCAGAAAGCCTCATCTTTCTCCCGCTGGTAGTTTTGAACTGCGACCTTGCGGTTGGCAGCCTGACTGGTAACCACTACGCTAATGGCAGTGGAAATTTCTGGAATTCTGTAATACACTCATGTTATTGCTGTTGTTAAGTGCCATCGAGTCGGTTCTGACTCATAGCAACTCTGTACAGGGTTTCCAAGGCTTTTTAAATCATTACGGAAGCAGAAAGCCTCATCTTTCTCCAGTGGAGCAGCTGGTTGGCTCGAACTGCGGACCTTGTGGTTTGCAGTCCAATATTTATCGTATAGAACCACTGCACTCCCATCCCTAGATACACAAATGTATAGAATTTATATTAAAGTTGCAACTGAGCGTTTTAGTCCTTACTAACGAATCATGCAGCTTTGAAAAACCTAAAGGTCTGAGACCACGCATTTACAGGACTATTCGGGGACCAGTATTCACGCAACTCAGGAGGAAAGCTGTCCTGCCCTGCACAGTCAAGGGTTTCTTATGCCACCTCCACTCCCC